TGTGTGTGTGTGTGTGTGTGTGTGTGTCTGTGTGTGTGTGTGCGTGCTTGCATGTGTGTGCGCGCACGTGTGTGCGTGCGTGCGTGTGTGCGTGCGCGTGTTGGCGCGCGTGCGGGCTTTCATCTACCTGTCCATGGTAGCGGGCGCCTCTTACCTGTTATCGACACTTGTTCATTAGCGATGCGCGGGTAAGTCCCGCGCGCGTGTCTAAGGGACTGAATTAGCGTCACCGGCTTATTAGTGTCGCATGTACAAAAGCCGACGCGCGACAACGCGTCCGGCCGCGCAGCAGTACATCTCTGGGGGGAGGGAGGGAGGGTGGGAGCACTCGGCACGCGCTGGCATGCCGGCTTTAGCTTTGCACCCGGCTGACATGTCCAATTTGTCGCCTTACGGAAGATTGTGCTCAATGGCGGAGGATTCTGCAGTGTGTAGTGGGGGTTATTGGAGGGGGGGGGTTGTCGATATTGACAGGCTAGGGTGGGGGAAAGCGACGCTTTTCAGTGGTTTTATCAGCACTTAGGTGGACGTCTCCAGCCGTAAAGTCGACGATTGATGGGCTTTGAAATGATCCTAAACGAGAAAGGGATTTCAGTTCCGGTTAATAAAGCGCGGTCGCCGTCGAGCGGTTGTCGAGTCGCCGCCGCCTCGCGTCACGTAGCTCTGGTTTTTCACGATTTTTCTGTCTTTACTGCAGGTTGCTGCTTCGTGACGTTCTACACGCGTAAGGCGGCGCTACAGGCGCAGAACGACCTACACAACATAAAAACCTTGCCAGGGGTAAGTGAAAACGCCGCTTTCTCTCCGCCCACCGTTGGTAATAGTGTACATAGACACGTAACGCACACACGGGTGACGCACGCACACACGCATAACACGTCCACGTGCATATCTGCATGCACGCACGCGCGCAGCACGCACACAAACCACACGTGTCCACGTGCATATCTGCATGTAAACAAGCTTACCCGCACGCGCACGCACGCACGCACGAACGCACGCACACACGCCTGCAGGTGATGGCAGGTAATTAGCCGAGCGGCGCGAGACTAATTAATGAGCGGACAGCCTCCACCCGCGCACGCGCGTGTGCGAGAGAGAGTCCCCGCGTTCCCACCTCCTCTCACCTCCGCGCCACGATGACCTCCTCTGTACGGAGAAGCCGCTATCGCGCGGCACATCATTACAAGAAGCCCCGATGCATTAGCGAGCCTTCGGCAGGATGCGTGATGACGGTGGTCGTCGTCGTCGCGCGGCTGCGGCGGGGGGATAAGATAGGGATTTAAGGGAGGGGTTAAGGGAGGGAGGGATGAGATCGCAGCTCTTGCTTATAATTACCTCTGGTGCGGCCCCATCATCGTTATTTCCACACTCCCTACGCGCAGCACGCGGCACGCCCGTGTGAGTGTGCACGCGGGGGATTCCCGTGGGTGGCGTTGGCGGGTCTGTGACACCTGCATGTGTGTGTAGGGGGCGCCACTGGTGGATCTGTAGAATGGCCCGCGCTCGCGAGGCCCGTAGGGGTATCTCTATCTGTAAGATGGGACGTTCTTGTGAGTGCGGGGGCATGTTACCATGGCGATGTCATGCCTCGCTTCTCCGCAATCAGAGTCTTCCTCTTGATGGGAGAGTGAGAATCCCGGGGCTCCTTCTCGTGGCGCGAGCACGACCCCTCGACCTCTCATTACTGCAGGACCCGCCTCCCCCGGTCTCCTCCCCCCGTGCGCACGCGGCCGTGCATGCTAATGAGGAGGTACCTGAGACGTGCGGCGGATGGCAACGCGGGCGCGCGCGTGCTCCTCCGAGAGAAACTGCCAGCCTCCTACAGATAATTGCTTCGCGTCTCTTCCCGATCGCTGCCGGCAATGCGCATCGATCGTCGCGCGGCGAGCTCGGCTCGGCGGCACGCGTGAATCGCCGTCCGAGGTCGCCGCCGCCGCGGTTGTCTCGCGCGAGGTTTTGTTTGGGCGCCGCCGACGTTCCCTCTAGGGGGCGCCTGCATGCTGGCATGTGTGAATTCTCGCACTGCCTGCGGATCCTCGGTTACACGCTGCTGTGTCGACCTTCCTTGTGCATCCACACTGGCACCTTCCTTCCGCACCTCCCTCCGTACTAACACTACCGCACATGTCCCGCTATCACTATCCCCTCTCTCTTTTCTGTCTGTCTGTCTCTCTATCTCTCTCTCTCTCTCTCTCTCTCTCTCTCTCTCTCTCTCTCTCTCTCTCTCTCTCTCTCTCTCTCTCGTACTGCCACCATTGTACATGTCACCCTTCTACACGTTCCCTTCCACATAATGCTACCCTGCCTCCTTCCTCCCCAGTCGGTTGATATCCGCCTATATATGCGAGCACCCCTTGTATATATGTGCATACCCCTTCCTGCCACCACCCCCGCATTCCCCTCCCGCGTCACGCATCCGCTGCCAGGCCCCCTCCCCCGCCCCGTCTCTCGATCTCCTCCTCCCCCTCCCCGCCCCTCCTCCTCCGCACTTGGCTAATATTGCCGGAGAAGGCCCCGGCCCGTTAATACAATAAGAAGAAAGCTAATTGGAAAAAAGCCTATTGACTGGCGTGTTGGCCAGCGCCGCTGGCTCAATTATGCTATGATGCCCTGCAGTCAAGTGCCTCAATGGCGATGTGCCTTGTATTTCTGATTGACATAGGGTGATCCCGGGAGGAGGAGGAGAGCACGAGGTGGTTGGGCGGTCACGCACAGCGGGGAGAAGGGTGGGAGGGTTAGGGAAGGAAATGGTAAGAAAAGGGTGAAGGTGGCGTACAGTGCGGGCACGCACACTGAGGGACTATATGGGGGGGGGGGTAAGATGAAAGGCAGGTGTCGGTGCACTAGTGGAGGATTAGGGGTAGAATAGGGGAAAACAGGGGAAGGTGCCATACAGGTGATAGGCACGCACACTAAGTGGGAGCGTGTAAACAGGGTATATGTCATACAAGGTGCACGCACGCCAGGGCAGGGTTATGTGTAGCTTTAGAACTATAAGTATAGCCCTTCACTCTGCCACAGGCCCTGTAGGGCTATAGTTCTAGAGCTAGGTTATGGGGTGACTGGGGGGAACGGGTCAATTTATAATACAGGCCAGAGTCACGCATACAAGGGGAGGGTTAGGAGAAAGTGAGGGGGAGCGGTACAGAACGCACCGGCGTACGTGTAGGCGGTAGGCCGTACGTGTAGGCGGTAGGCCGTACGTGTAGGCGGTAGGCCGTACGTGTAGGCGGTAGGCCGTACGTGTAGGCGGTAGGGCATACGTGTAGGCGGTAGTCCGTACGTGTAGGCGGTAGGCCGTACATGCGTACCTGGCGTACCTGTACCTGGCGGTACCTGGCGTACCAGGCGTACCAGGCGTACCTGTACCTGGCGTACCTGGCGTACCAGGCGTACCAGGCGTACCAGGCGTACCTGTTCCCGTACAGGCGTAGGGGAAGTGAAGTGTAATTGATAAGAGTGTGAGCTGGGTTAGGGAACTAGGAGCACAGGCACTTGGGACAGAGTCAGTAAAAACTGAAAATAATATGAACGCACATTCACAAATACTACCGTAGGCCCTACCTCTCAATTACAGTTCCACTGTTGTGTCACTGTATATCATATTATATACATATCACTGTATTATATTATCATTATAATGGCGACACAACACACTCGCAGCGGCGAGTGCGGGAGCGTTCGGCGTTAGTTTTTATGAAGGAAAGTTGTGACTGGGAGAGGGTGGGCTGGAGATGGGCTGGGCGTGATAGGGAAGGGGTCGATCGTCAGGATGTGGGATATAGAGCCTAAGAGGGGAAGGAATGCTGTCGTAGATGTGTGAGCGAGAAGGCGAAGGTTAGACTGACTCCAGCTGTCAGTGGCTGCCGTCAAAATCATTCCTAACCACGTATGGAGTCGAGTCTAAACGAAGATGTGAAAGAAACGTAGGGAAAAGGCGAGGATGTTAGGAAAGGGGAGGGGGTGATGGAGAGGGATGATTGATAAAGGGGTATCTCTGTTAAGCAAATGGTGCAGGATTGTTTGAGGAAGGGGAGTGGGGATGGTGGGGCAGGTGGGCTGATCACGAGGTAATCGCGAGGAGGTGGCGGTAAAGGTACCGGTATAGAAAAAAGGGAGGGACGACTGTGCGAGGAATGAGAGATTTGGTGAGACGAGCGAGAAAGGTTTTAATCAAGTCACGAACAGTTGAGTATATATATATCAGGGGTTAATAATGACTAATCATTATTACCTCCGCGCAACGGAGTTGCAGGGAGGTAATGTAATCGCTCTCGTGTGTGTGTTCGTGTGTGTGTGTGTAGCCAGCAGCGAGCCAGC